TTGCCGGCCGACGACACAAACAGGCAGCGGTGGCGGCGGATCACCTCGCTGCGCACGGCCTGCACCCACTGCCCCGTGTTGGGCGTCGCCGTCGGCTCGCCAAAGCTCATGTTGGCCAGGTCGGCGCCGTGCTCGACAATGGCGTTGACCGCGCGCGTCAGCCCAACGCCCGTCTCCATCGACCCGACGCGGTGATCTCCGATCATCAGCGACAGCAGCTGCGCGCCTGGCGCAACGCCGTTGTTCTGCGGCTCGTCCGGGTGGTTGGCCGCCAGGATCCCCGCAACGTGCGTCGAGTGCGACCCGACGCTGGTCACGATGCTCAGCGTGCGCCCGCTGTCGTAAAAGTTGACCGTGTAGTACAGCAGCTGCCGCTTGTTTAGCAGCGCCACGTCGCCCGTGTGCCGGTACGCGCCCAGCGCCGCTGCCGCAGTCAGGTCGCCGGTCTCGCCCGTGTCGATGGCCGTGCGCCACTGCTCGCCGTCGTGGAACACGACGCAGTCCAGCAGCGGGCCCAGGTCGGAGTACGCCTCGCCCAGCGCGGCCAGCACCGCTGCCTGCGCGTCAAGCTCGGCGCCCTCGTCGCTGTCGTCGGCCTTGCCGTCCGCCTTTGCCTCGGCCTTGCGTGCGTCGACCGTGTCCCGGAGCTGCTGCGCCGTCTTGCGGAACCGCTCCTCGCGCTCGGTTCGGGTGGTCGCCGCCGCTTCGGCCGGCGCAATGTCGTAGTAGCGCTTGGCGCCAATGCGCCACTCGCCCGACGGGTTCTTCCACGCCGGGTTGAGGCGCAGCGTGCGCCCGCTGACCGCGCGCAGCTCGAGGGCGTCGCCCGCGCACTTCACCGGGGCGCCGAGGACAACGTCGCCCGACCCCGTGCAGTCAATGTAGTCGACGACCTTGCGCTTGCCGTCGCTGGTGACCTGCAGCCCGTGCGCGCCCGGGTCGATGCCGGTGTCGAGGATAGCGACGACGGTGCCGCGCCCGTCGCAGCCCGGGTGCTTGCGCACAAAATCCGCCGCCTGCGTGTCGGTGCGCGGCAGCAGCCCGTGCGTCGGGAACTCTGCGCCCACGGCGGCGCCTGTGGCAGACGTATGCATCGTCGTGGAGGGGCGGGGGGGTCTAGCTTGTGCGCGGATAAAGTGCGCCAACTCTGCCGAGAGCGGAGGAGAAAGCGGAGATGGCTTGCCCGCCACGCAGAGCTGGCGCACGCCCCCTTTCTCCCCACGCGGTGATCCGGGCGCAAGGAGGGGGGCGCCGCGCGGCCTGGCCGAATGCCCTTGTGCCCGGCACCCCCCTCCTTGCGCGTGGACACGCCGTCCGCCGATGAGTGTGACGCCAGCAAACCAGCGGCGCCGAGGGGCGTGGAAACGACAATGTGGTGGTGGCTGGTGTCAGGTTGCTTGTGTCGTGCAGGTTCGCACGCGGCCCGGGCCCGCCGCCCGCCGCGCCCGCCTTTGCCACATGGCTGCGCACGTCGACCGTGATCCTGCCCGGTGCGGCCCTGGTGTTCCACACTATTGTGAGAGTGATGATGCTGGCATTCACGCCGTCTGGCGGGCACAGAAGCCCCCCTGCATGACGGCAGACAGCGGATGGGAGAACAGAAAATCTACACATTGAGTACGGGGGAAGGGGGAGGGGGGCGGATGGAAGTGGCGTGGCACCTCAGTACGCGACGCCCATGCTGACCGGCGGCGCCAGTCTCTTGGACCCGGCGGACCCGCCAAACAGCGACTCGTCGTCGAGGGTCGCGCTGACCTGCGACATGAGCGCCTTGAGCTTCTCGGGCTACATGTCACATCAGCTGGACGGCCCGCTTTTAGCATATGAAGAACGGCATGCGGCGCCCCCTCTTCTGGGCACAATGCCGCCCGGTGGGTAATCACGCCGCCCGGTCAAGCGTGGCTGCACAATCGCCGTGGCAGCCGCCCGCCCGCCCGCCGCAACATCACTTACGTCCTTGGCCGACGTGAGGCTGCTGCCCTGCACTGTCCCGATGCCCAGATGGCCCGTATGCTACAGCGACAAAGACCACAACAACAACAGCTGCGGCCGCAGCCAGTTAGCGCCAGCCCGCATGCAGGAACACAACCCACGCCCCCTCGCCAGTCACCGGACGGCCTGCCCGGTCGATCCGCAACCGCGTCCCAGGCCGCGTGTCTGTCCAGCTGCTCGACTTACCACGAAATTGCTGGGCTGGCTGATCATTGCCTTGGTCACGCCGCGACGCCCATGGCGCCTGCCGCCGTGCCCGTACTGGCCGCACCCCTCGGCCTCGCCAAAGCACGAAGAGAACAGCCCAATCATTCTGTGTGTGTTGTGGACAGCGCCGCCCGGGGGGAGAGAGACGCGCGAGGAAGGAGAAGACCCCAAGGCGAGCGCAGGCCGCTGGCTTGCCGATGCTGCACGCGGTACGGGTTCCGGCTGCGGCCAAGGCTGAAAAGGGGGGACTGGCAAAGAGTATACGCGGCCGCAGAAAGCACAGTGCAGAAGGGAAGGGGAACTGGCGCCGAACCAGAATTTTTGTGGAACTGGCTGGGCGGGCTGGGCCCCCCCTCTTTGCCTTAAATGCGCCGTCCAGGCCCCCGAGAATGCAACGGCGCCCCTGGCCCATGATTGGTCCCGCCGCTGATCCCCCCGGGTTTCCTGTGCCCCCTTGCGGCAAGACCGACACCGCCACGCGCGCAACCCATTGACCGCTTGCCGTTCCAGGCCTGCCCAGACCGCCCGCGCCTGCAGCCGCGCGAATCGGGCCAAAAGGACCAAGACTTTCCCGGGTGGCGCCCCGGTCTCGACCCCTGTGCCCGACACACACACGCGTGCACCTCATTGTCTGCCGCCCGCTCCTCGCATCCCATTGCCTGCAAGCCTTTTGCGGTCTGCGTTCAGAGTGGCCTTGTACGCCCCCACCCGCGCAATAGCCATTGCAACGCACCCGACCAGTGCTAGCCATGTGGCTGGCTTTCGCTTGCCGCAATGGCACCCCGTCTGCTGCCCCTGTCTAGGGCCTGCGAGCGGCGGCGCCCTTTGTGCGCGCACCAGACGCTCCTGCTTCTGAAAAAAAAAATGAAAGTCATATGCACACCAATTGTAACAATAGCCCCAGGGTAATGCTGGTCTCAAAGCTTGCTCGCGTAGAGTAGATGGCAGCACACAAACATGCCGGCGGCTCTGTTTGGCATCAATGCAGCGCATGTGTTGCGATGGGAGCCGAGCTGGGCAGGAGGGGAAAGGGATGTTTGTTTGTTACTAAGGAGAAAAGAGGAGCGGCCCACTGTCGGGCGGGGCGCGCTCTGTGTAGCCCGTGGCCGGCACACACGCCAGCTCTAGCCAGGTGCAAAAGGTGCGCCCGCCGCCAAAAAATACAAAAATTTGTGCCCATTGCCAGATTCGAACTGGCGGCCTCTTGTTTACGAGACAAGCGCTCTACCCCTGAGCTAAACGGGCACCTTTTTTATCTGGCCGACTTTGTGGAAGGTCGCTCAAATGCTTGCTGCAGAATTGGGAGGATGCGCCGAGGCAGACAGCTGGCCGGTGTATGGCCCCTGCCGCCTCACTCCCATCCAGCAAAGTGAAGCGACACGCATTAACATCTATGCGAGGGGTGGGGTGCAGTAGTTGCTAGATGGGTTTGCTGTTAACCGTGTAGTTATAGCTCGAGAAAGGTCACTAAACAACGCAGGGGCAGACATGTGTGGTGCGTGCCTTGAATATGCTTGCTTGCTCGCCTTCATACTTGTCTTTGTGTTCCTCGACTCAAAACACTATCATATCCACTGTGAGCCCATTAGACACATCCAGAGTATCCCAATTGACTTTTATGAGAGGTGTAGCAACACCTTTCACAGGCACTGATATCCGCGCAGTTATGCATTGTTTATTATAAGCTCTTGCATGGTTTTTCGCCGCCTTCAGTATTTCACCAAATGACGGCGTGACCAGTTGATTCACAGTAACACTGAAGTCGTCAGATGAGATATTAAATGTAGTTTCGACTTCCATCTCTAGAGGTGCAGATAGTGGCTCAATGCGGGTGGCGAGGAGTTGTGCGACAGTGGACGGCTAGCAGTGGTAGCTGGCGAGCGTGTCGCCTTTTAAGCCAACACCAGGCCCCGGGTAAGATTTTTTTGGCAGAGGCCTCCGAGTTGGATTTTTTTGGTAGAGACCCCCGGGTAGGATGCCGTGCTTGCTCGGGGAAGAGCTGACACGCGCTGCAAAAGGCAAGCGGCGCCTTTCATAGAGCAATCTGGTGGCCGATTGGACGACAATCGTAGAGAGCGAGTCAAATTGCCGCGCAAAGGCTGCAGCGACTGCGAACAGATGCTTGACACGCTTACCCTTGATGCCCGCAAACCCGGGTCTTACTCGGGTCCATTGTCAAAGCGACATCGCCGCGGCAGCATGCCAGTGACCTCGGCCAAACCCGTGTCGCGCAAGCAGAATGCTAGGCTGCTTGTTGGCAAACGTGCTATTAGAGGAGTAGCAATCGATAATCTTACATCGGGAACTTTTTGGAGCCGGCGGTGCTCATCTTGAGGTTTGTCATGGCTGCCATCTGGTTCTGGCTCGCGTCAACGGTCCCAATCTCCTCGTAGAGGCGGTTGATTGTGACCTGGTAGTGGCGGATGGCATCGTTGCGCTTGATCTTGAGCGTCGGCGTGAGCAGGTCGTAGACGTCCAGGCCGTACGGCTCGAGATAGAGATTGCTGATGCGCTCGTGGTAGCCCAGGTTGTGCTCGACGCCGTGGTTGTTGAGCTCGCACATCACCGCGCTGCGCACCATGGTGTTGATGCACAGCAGCTGGTGGAGCGGCGGCTTGGACTCCTCCTTGATGATCTTCTTTTTGCTCAGGAACACGCGCAGGAACTCGGCGTCCAGCACGACGATGGCCACGAGCGACCCCCGCTCGTTGTCGCCGTACACAAACGCCTGTGTCACCAGGTCGTGGTCGCAGTACACGTACTCAAGGCGCTCGGGCTCGATCATGTGGCCCGTGCGGAGCCGGAAGAGGTTGCACTTGCGATCCAGAATCCGAAGCCGCCCAAAGTCGTCAAACATGCCCAGGTCGCCGGTGCGGAACCAGCCATCCGGGGACAGCACATCGGCGGTCAGCTCGGGCTGCCGGTAGTAGCCGCGGAACACATTGGCGCCACGCACCAGGATTTCGCCGCGCGGGTACGGCTTGTCGTCCACCGTGTAGCCGAGCTCCTTGACGCTAACCAGCTTGACCATGTTGGGCGGATACGGGGTGCCGACGCAGCCCGTCGAGGCGTCGTCGTGGGTGGTAAAGCTTATCGGCCCGCACGTCTCCGTCATGCCATACCCCTCGGTGATGTCGCACGAGAACGTGCACTTGAGAAACGTCATGGCCTCTTGCGATATGGACGACGTGCCCGAAACGATCAGCCGCACGCGGCCGCCCAGCGTCTCGCTCAGCGGCCGGAAGATGACGTGGTCCCAGAGCCAGTGGCTGTTGTGCCCGTGCTTCATGCTGCGCACCTTGGCCTTGACGGCGTGCCGGAAAATCGACCCGGCTAGCCCGCCCTTGCCCTTGATGGCCTGCATCGTCTTGTCCTGCACGCGGTTGATGAACTTTGGCACGCCAATGATCAC